GGAACAGTGGGCCTGGGCCAGGCAGCCTGGTACCCTCTTTTCTCCCAAGGCCCCTCTGTATGGCCCTCCCTGACACCCCCTCCCTGCTGGGAGCATCCTGAGCCTGTGATGCCTGACCCTGGGGGAGGGGCAGAGACACAACTCAGCTTTGTTGGCCCCAGACCTGCTGGGTTCCTGTCCCAGAGAGAGTGGCCCGCTGAAGCCTGGACTGATGGCCAAGCTTTTTCCAGAAGACTCCTGTTTTTTGTGGGTTTGTTTTTGTTTTTGTTTTTTATTTCTGGATTTCCCAAATCTTTCTCATCCATCTCCAGGTTTCTCCTGAGCCTCCTCAGTCCCTCACTTGGGAGGTGAGGGTGGCGTTTCTGCACTGGGGATAGTCCCCTAGAAGCCCCAGGGCAGGGTTCCTGCCAGGCCTACATATCCACGGATGAGCTAGAAGGGGTTCCTTAGCCCATGTTCCTCTTATACAAGGCCTCCTTCTCTCCCTCCTTCTCCCTTTTGCCTACTGTTTCTTCTTCATTTCCCACCTGTTCTTATATCCTGAGATTTCCCTCCCAGCCCTGAGAAGATGTTCCTCTGTCCCGATGCTCCCCTAGCCTTGATTTCTCAACTTAGATCTCCTCCCCTGGCTCTATGCCTGTGGAAGTCTCAAAATGCAAGGGACATCTAGTTTGAGAGGACAATCCCTGTCTGTCCCCTGTGTCTGTCACAAACTGGACTAGGAGTTGTCCCCACCCCTGTCCTGGGGCAGGCTGTAATTCCCCGAGAAAGTTCCCTCCGCCCCTTTGTATTCACCTGCCTCGAAGTCTCCAGCAGAGGATGGTCACACAGACAGCAGCCGCTCAAGTTAGCATTTGAGGTGGATTTGTGGGTGCAATGGTAATGAGGAGCGGTCATTTTTGCCAGCGGTGTATGTGACCAGTGACCTCTACCCCGCAGCAACAGACATGGAAGGCTGGTGGGCACCAATGGTGAGAAGCAGTGAGACCCAAGAATTCCAGCAACCTAGAGGTGTCCAACACAGGTGGCCATGCAAATGAGCTAGGCGGGGCCGGGGGTGGCTCCCACCACGCTGTCCTTCAAGGGGGTCTGGGCGAGGGATGGGTATACCAATAGTGAGAGATTGGAAACAACAAAAACATCCTTTCCTAGAGGATTGGTTAACTAAATTCTTGTACCGCCTTACTATGCAGCTATAAAAAGAATTCTCTCTCTTTGTATACTAATATGGAATGATCTTCCAATGCGAACAGCAAGGTGTATGTAGTGCCCCTCCCCTCTGGGTTGTAGAAGGGAGGAAACTTTAAGTACATATTCACGTGGGGGCGCCTGGGTGGCTCAGTTGGTTAAGCGTCCCACTCTTGATTTCAGCTCAGGTCATGATCTCACAGTTTGTGAGCTCAAGTCCCACATTGGGACTGTCAGTGCAGAGCTTCCTTGGACTCTCTCTCTCCCTCCCTCTCTCTCTCTCTGCCCTTCCCCCATTCTCTCTCTCTCTCTGTCTCTCAAAATAAATAAACTTTAAAAAAATAAATAAATACATATTCACTTGTATATGCATATTCACAAGAGACTAGTGATACTTTTGGGGAGGGGAAACCGGGAGGTGGGGATGGGGCAGGGAGGAGACTTAGCACACTATATACCCTTTTGTATATTTTGAATTTTGAGCCATGTGACTGTATTACCTATTCAAAATTAATAAAAAATGGACCCAACCAGGACCTGACTTTTTTTTTTTAATTGACAAGTCTTTTAGGAAGGGTTGAGGGTAGGTGGAGGGTTAAGTAAGTGAAAGTATGGACCCAGGGACTCAATTTGGTAAAGTTTCTGAGACCCGGAGAATGGATGTGGCCTCTGGTAACTCCTTTGCACTTTCTTGTCTGTCTATCCCCGATAACAATGCGAAACTTCAGCCACCCTCTCTCACTCCCTCTCTGTCTCTCTCTCTTTTTTCCTCCTCTCTCTCTTCAAAGAGGGGACAATGAGAAACAATGGAGAGAAGTGACCTCTGCCTGCTGGAAGCCCAGGCCAGGCCAGGAGGTGAAGTTCAGGAAACCAGTTTGGGCTTCCGCTCAGCCTCTGACCAGAGGGAGACCCTGTCTAGGGAACTCAGGCATCACAGAAGCTTCTGCTACCTTCTGTGCTGCCCCAAGCCCAAGTTCACTTCTAGGTCAATGAAACAGTGGGTGGGGATACATCAGTAAGCTGGAGAGAAACTAGGTTCCAAAGAACAGGAAGGAAGACCTCAGCGAGGACAGCGGGCCAGTGACAGCTGCGTTACTTTGTGGCACTGCCTGCCTGGGGTGAAAGGAGTGACAACACAGATGGAGACTGAGGACAAGGAGTGACTGAAGACTGAGACACAGGAGAAAAAGGATGTCATGACCAGCTGTGGGCTCTGACACTGACTTTCTACTTCTCTTTCTCCGACCTAAGTAATTTAACTTCTCTGCTACAGGCTGACTCTTCTTATGGTCAACCGCACAGTGGTCACTGCTGGGGGAAATGGAATAAAGGGATGCTGGCGTCCACCCCTCCCCCCTCCCCATCACACTGACATGAAGCTTATGACCTCAAAACCCATGTCCACACCAAAGAGCGTGAGCGCTTGTGTGCCGTCATATGTGTGAGTGGGTGCAAATGCTCGCCAGCATTTGTCTGAAAATGTAACTGTGTGTGGTTGTGTCTCTACATGTCACCGTAGGGATGACACCACCTGCCCCAGTCTCAAATAAGAGGAGGTAAGATGGACCTGTGGATCATTAGAACGTCCACCCAGCTGGGGTCAGGAGGGCTACAAGGTGGACCTCCAGCCCCCTACCCCAATCCAATCTCTTCCTTAGACCACTGAGGCCAGCTTAGTGTGTTGGCGTCACATTTGTGATCAAGCGATAGGAGTGAATACTTATCAAGGATGTTAAATTCTGAAGGGACGGGTGCCCCAGTGCTAAAATCTTTAGGACATGGACTCATCGCCCTAAGAGGAGCTGGACAAGGGGAGCCCTGAGGCTTGGGTCAGAGGGCATAACTGGGACTTCCCTGGGAATGTAGACACTAGAACGCCCTGGAAGGAGCACATGTACTCACCTGCCTCTGCTCTCCTGTGGCCCCCAGGAAGGGCCCCAGCTCCAAGTACAAGAAGATTCCTTCATGCTTCCATCCAACGAAGATTTACAGCGTGCCTTCTAAGGGCCAGGCACATGCAAGGCACTAGGATACACCAGTGAATAGGACGCACATTTTTTGTCCTCGGGCAAGTGAGGCCAGTAAAGGACCGTTAAAAGGGAGGTGGGAGGGCAACAATAGCAGGGGCTCCTGACTTGGGTTTGGGAAGGGCTCCTGTGAGACATGATGTCCAAACTGGGGATAAGGAGGACAGTGGAGAGAATTTTCCAGGCTGAGGAAACAGCATGATCAAAGACCAAGAGGTGACAAGGTGGCACCGTCCAAATACCCAAGTTCAATGAGAGACATGTGGGCTATAGGGAGAGCCCGGAGGGGCAAGCAGGGAACAGACGAGGGAGGGAGTTCTTGCAAGCCATGGTTACTCTAAGAGAAACGGGGAGCCATGGAAAGACTTGGGGCAAGAGAGTGACAAGTGTCAGATTTGCCTTTTAGAACATTCCCTCTGGCCCAGCTACAAAGCACAGAGTTGACAGAAGACCTGGCCATGGGCAGTGGGTCGGAAGTCAGAAATGATGGTGGCCTGAACTCCTGGCAGGGCCTGGGGGAGGACCCCTGTGGGGAGTCTGGCCCGATGAGGTGAGGCCGTTTCTGAGCTGCTCCAATCAGAACCCCACATCTGCATGCCTCCCTCCTCCCTTCTCCCTCCCACACTTTCTGCTGAGGTTGCTGGGAAAATGAGGAGGGCTGTCTGGCCACTAACTGGTCTTTTTCCTCCAGAATGGAAGAGCATTTTATTTAACGAGCACTTAACAGATCACTTGGGAAGGTCAGATGCTGATTGAAGAAAAATCCCAACAGTGCGGCTCTTCTATAGTTGGTGCAGTTATGTGATAATTGGTTAACTCATCCTTGTAGACTTTATACAATGCAAAGGGGGTTTGAGAAAACTTAAACCCCTATAAAAGAAAAGGAACTTGGTGCCCCCGTGACAGCTTCTTTGTTCCGTGATGAAGATGGGCTCATTAATTCCACAGCCTTTTTACCTGCTTAAGCCCACCCTTCGGGCTCCCCCCAGAAGGTTCTCCTTCAGTTATCCACTCCTCCATCTGTATCTTTTTATCTCTCCCTCTTTTTTTTTTTAAATTTTTTAACGTTTATTTATTTTTGAAACAGAGAGAGACAGAGCATGAACAGGGGAGGGGCAGAGAGAGAGAGGGAGCCACAGAACCGGAAGCAGGCTCCAGGCTCCGAGCCATCAGCCCAGAGCCCGATGTAGGGCTCGAACTCACGGACCGTGAGATCGTGACCTGAGCTGAAGTCGGACGCTCGACCGACTGAGCCACCCAGGCGCCCCATTATCTCTCCCTCTTTATTGGCTCTTCTTCTCAACTCTCATCTTGCTAAGCCTTCCTGGGGACCCTGCATCTCCCTGGCAGGGTCTTCTCTCTCTCTCTCAGTCTGTGCCTTTTCAAAAACCCCTTCTTCCGAGGCATGTTCTATCCTTCCTGGGTCTGCTTCCTCTGCCTCCCCAGTCACTCTCGACCCATTGCCCTCCCTCTGCCGGCCCACAGCCACAGACATTGCTCTGACAAAGGTCACCAGTCACTTCTAAATGCAGAATCAACGGGCTTTTCCAGGCGCCTACTTTCTGGACCTTTTGGTGGCATTTGACAACACCACCTACTCCTGCCTTGACTTCCCCACATTCTGACCCCTCCCTGTCCATGCTGCTTCTCGGTCTCATATGCTGGCTCCTTTACCTCTGCTCCCCCACCAGCCCACATAGGCCCAGACCTTGGCATTTTCCAGGATGCCATCTTGGGCCTCCTCTCTTCTCTTTCCAGAAGTCCTCCCTGGGGTGATCTCAGGCTCTCTTTAACTGCTAATACTGTTGTTGGCTGAAATGTCTACGTCTAGCCTAGAACGTCTCTCCTGTGCTCCAGACCCATAGAGCCAATTGCCCTATTTCTTTTTTTTTGTTTAATTTTTTTTTCAACGTTTTTTATTTATTTTGGGACAGAGGGAGACAGAGCATGAGCGGGGGAGGGGCAGAGAGAGAGGGAGACACAGAATCGGAAACAGGCTCCAGGCTCCGAGCCGTCAGCCCAGAGTCTGACGCGGGGCTCGAACTCACGGACCGCGAGATCGTGACCTGGCTGAAGTCGGACGCTTAACCAACTGCGCCACCCAGGCGCCCCTAATTACCCTATTTC